AGCTTTATTAAAGTCAAGGTACCCAACATCACAATTCTTACCACTATCAACTGCCTCAACTATGCTGGAATAAATAGTTAGCAAATTTGGTAAACATGAACGGCCATTTGTAAAACCATGTTGGGACTCATTTATTAATTTATGTTTTTCAAGATGGAGACGAAATGTATTTGCAATTATTGATTCAAGTAACTTTCCCACAATAGACGTTAGGCTAATTGGCCGATAGTTGGACGCAAGTGATCTATCTCCTTTCTTAAAAATTGGTACCACATTAGCTACCTTCCATAACTCTGGCACTCTGCCTGAGTCTATTGATTTATTAAATATGGTAGACAGTGGGTCGGAAAGCTCCTCTTTGCATTCTTTAAGCACCCTGGCAAACACTTCATCCGGCCCTGGGGATTTGTTTGGTTTTAGTTTTTCTAATTGCTTAATTACATCCTCCCTGGTAACTGCTAAATTTACTCAACCTGTCCTCATCCCCACCCACATAGACTTGTTTGGGTGAAGGCATATTGTTAGGTTCTTCTTTAGTAAATACAGATATAAAATATTTGTTAAAAATACTACTCATTTCCTTGTCATTATCCGTTATTTGACCTGTCTCAGATTTTAATGGACCTATCCTTTCCCTAGTCTTAGTTCGATATAACTGAAAAAACTCTGGAACTACCCAGAGCACAGCTTTGAACCCTCCTTATTCCTCCCACTGATTTCATTAATGATACATCACGATAAGGATACATTTTCCTGCATTTAAAGAAAAGCGTAGAACTCCTACAGTACAAGCCAGAGTACAAGCCAGAGTACAAGCCAGAGTAAAAGCCAGAGTACAAGCCAGAGTGCAAGCCAGAGTAAAAGCCAGAGTGCAAGCCAGAGTAAAAGTTAGAGTAATAGCCAGAGTACAAGCCAGAGTACAAGAAAGAGTAAAAGCCAGAGTAAAAGCCAGAGTGCAAGCCAGAGTACAAGCCAGAGTACAAACCAGAGTGCAAGCCAGAGTACAAGCCAGAGTGCAAGCCAGAGTACAAGCCAGAGTACAAGCCAGAGTACAAGCCAGGGTGCAAGCCAGAGTACAAGCCAGAGTAGAAGCCAGAGTACAAGCCAGAGTACAAGCCAGAGTGCAAGCCAGAGTACAAGCCAGGGTGCAAGCCAGAGTAAAAGACAGAGTGAATGCCAGAGTGCAAGCCAGAGAAAAGCCAGAGTAAAAGCCAGAGTAAAAGCCAGAGTAAAAGCCAGAGTAAAAGCCAGAGTGCAAGCCAGAGTAAAAGTTAGAGTAAAAGCCAGAGTACAAGCCAGAGTGCAAGCCAGAGTACAAGCCAGAGTGCAAACCAGAGTGCAAGCCAGAGTGCAAGCCAGAGTACAAGCCAGAGTGCAAGCCAGAGTACAAGCCAGAGTAAAAGCCAGAGTGCAAGCCAGAGTACAAGCCAGAGTAAAAGCCAGAGTACAAACCAGAGTGCAAGCCAGAGTACAAGCCAGAGTGCAAGCCAGAGTACAAGCCAGGGTGCAAGCTAGAGTGGAAGCCAGAGTACAAGCCAGAGTGCAAGTCAGAGTGCAAGCCAGAGTACAAGCCAGAGTGCAAGCCAGAGTACAAGCCAGAGTGCAAGCCAGAGTACAAGCCAGGGTGCAAGCCAGAGTACAAGCCAGAGTGCAAGCCAGAGTGCAAGCCAGAGTACAAGCCAGAGTAAAAGCCAGAGTAAAAGTCAGAGTGCAAGCCAGAGTACGAACCAGAGTGCAAGCCAGAGTGCAAGCCAGAGTACAAGTCAGAGTACAAGCCAGAGTACAAGCTAGGGTGCAAGCCAGAGTACAAGCCAGAGTACAAGCCAGAGTGCAAGCCAGAGTACAAGCCAGAGTGCAAGCCAGAGTACAAGCCAGAGTACAAGCCAGAGTGCAAGCCAGAGTACAAGCCAGAGTGCAAGCCAGAGTACAAGCCAGAGTACAAGCCAGGGTGCAAACCAGAGTACAAGCCAGAGTACAAGCCAGGGTGCAAGCCAGAGTACAAGCCATAGTACAAGCCAGAGTACAAGCCAGAGTACAAGCCAGAGTAAAAGCCAGAGTTCAAGCCAGAGTACAAGCCAGAGTAAAAGCCAGAGTGGATGTCAGAGTACAAGCCAGGGTGCAAGCCAGAGTAAAAGCCAGAGTGGATGCCAAAGTACAAGCCAGGGTGCAAGCCAGAGTAAAAGCCAGAGTGCAAGCCAGAGTACAAGCCAGGGTGCAAGCCAGAGTAAAAGCCAGAGTGCAAGCCAGAGTACAAGCCAGGGTGCAAGCCAGAGTAAAAGCCAGAGTGGATGCCAGAGTACAAGCCAGAGTAAAAGCCAGAGTACAAGCCAGAGTACAAACCAGAGTACACTGTGTGAAGCCCGGGTTAGGCTCAGGAACCCCCAGAACATTCAGTTGATTCCCAGGATGCATTGCTTTTGACCATGTCGTGGTGTAGTGGTCTAGGGCGTGCGCTTGCTGGTACTCAGAACAAAGGTTCGAATCCTCGTCATGGCTCGTACCGATTTTCTCATAGCCCTTATCTTTACCATTACCATTAACATAAGCATTAATGTAACTACTAACATTACCATTAACATAACCACTACCTTAACTGTTAATATAACCTTTACTATAATCATTATTATTACAATTAAAATAACCGTTATACTAATTAAATAATCTTAACCTTTAAGATAACGATTAAGGCAACTTTACTATTAATAGTGCCATAACCAGTTCACCTTAACCATTAACCAGTTCTCCTTAACCATTAACCAGTTCACCCTACCATTAACCAGTTCACCTTAACCATTAACCAGTTTATCCTACCATTAACCAGTTCACCTTAACCATTAACTAGTTCACCCTACCATTAACCAGTTCACCTTAACCATTAACCAGTTCCTTTTAACCATTAACCAGTTCACCTTAACCATTAACCAGTTCACCTTAACCATTAACCAGTTCACCTTAACCATTAACTAGTTCACCTTAACCATTAACCAGTACACCTTAACCATTAACCAGTTCACCTTAACCATTAACCAGTTCACCTTAACCATTAACTAGTTCACCTTAACCATTATCCAGTTCACCTTAACCATTAACCAGTTCACCTTAACCATTAACCAGTTCACCTTAACCATTAACCAGTTTATCCTACCATTAACCAGTTCACCTTAACCATTAACTAGTTCACCCTACCATTAACCAGTTCACCTTAACCATTAACCAGTTCCTTTTAACCATTAACCAGTTCACCTTAACCATTAACCAGTTCACCTTAACCATTAACTAGTTCACCTTAACCATTAACCAGTTCACCTTAACCATTAACCAGTTCACCTTAACCAATAACCAGTTCACCTTAACCATTAACTAGTTCACCTTAACCATTAACCAGTTCACCTTAACCATTAACCAGTTCACCTTAACCATTAACCAGTTCACCTTAACCATTAACTAGTTCACCTCAACCATTAACCAGTTCACCTTAACCATTATCCAGTTCACCTTAACCATTAACCAGTTCACCTTAACCATTAACCAGTTCACCTTAACCATTAACCAGTTTATCCTACCATTAACCAGTTAACCTTAACCATTACCCAGTTCCTTTTAACCATTAACCAGTTCACCTTAACCATTAACTAGTTCACCTTAACCATTAACCAGTTCACCTTAACCATTAACCAGTTCACCTTAACCATTAACCAGTTCCTTTTAACCATTAACCAGTTCACCTTAACCATTAACCAGTTCACCTTAACCATTAACTAGTTCACCTTAACCATTAACCAGTTCACCTTAACCATTAACCAGTTCACCTTAACCATTTACCAGTTCACCTTAACCATTAACTAGTTCACCTTAGCCATTAACCAGTTCACCTTAACCAGTTCACCTTAACCATTAACCAGTTCACCTTAACCATTAACTAGTTCACCTTAACCATTAACCAGTTTACCTTAACCATTATCTAGTTCACCTTAACCATTAACCAGTTCACCTTAACCATTAACTAGTTCACCTTAACCATTAACCAGTTCACCTTAACCATTAACTAGTTCACCTTAACCATTAACCAGTTCACCTTAACCATTAACCAGTTCACCTTAACCATTAACCAGTTCACCTTAACCATTAACCAGTTCACCTTAACCATTAACCAGTTTATCCTACCATTAACCAGTTAACCTTAACCATTAACCAGTTAACCTTAACCATTAACCAGTTCACCTTAACCATTAACTAGTTCACCTTAACCATTAACCAGTTCACCTTAACCATTAACCAGTTCACCTTAACCATTAACCAGTTCACCTTAACCATTAACTAGTTCACCTTAACCATTAACCAGTTCACCTTAACCATTATCCAGTTCACCTTAACCATTAACCAGTTCACCTTAACCATTAACCAGTTCACCTTAACCATTAACCGGTTTATCCTACCATTAACCAGTTAACCTTAACCATTAACCAGTTAACCTTAACCATTAACCAGGGTCACGTACCTGAAGGAAGGCGCGGCTTGCCAGAACAATAATTACCATCGTTTATTTCTGAATAATTAAAGTATTAATTGCTGTGATAGGCAGTTGGTGCGGGTTGTTAACACAGTGCAGGAAGGCAGCGTGTCGCATCACAGATGCTTTGGTAACATCACTGTCGTAAACACCTCTCCATATGGCTTGTTTGGCGGCGTGAAGGAGGTTCGGGTGTGGACGTAACTGGCCAGATCTGCCTCACTCACAGCTGTGTGACGACGCTTCTGCACAGCTGTGTGTGAGATGAGCTTTGCACAGGTGAGCTCATAGATGAGGGAGGGATCTTTGCTTCGCACAGGTGAGGGTCAGCTCTCACCAGTCTCCCTAGACACTTGGCTGAGTACGGTAAGGGCAGGTCGTCACTAGTTAGCTGTTTATGTATATTGGTGCTGCTGAAATGTATGAAAGGTATCATTCTCCTAACGAAACTCTAGTACTTATGAGGGAACTCTAAGCTCCCGAGGGAGCTTCATGTCTCAGAGTGCTCTGGTTGTCCAAAGTGAGCCCAGATTCTGTTGAGGGACCTCTTGTTCTCACGCGGAACCTCTGGTTCTTCTGAAGGAGCTTTGGTTCTCTTGAGGGGAGCTTTTGTTCTCTTGAAAGGAGTTTTTGTTATCCACAGGGATCTCTTGTTCTCTTCAGGGATCTTCGGTTCTCTTCAGGGATCTGTGGTTCTCCTCTGGTATTTCTGGTTCTCCTGAGGGATCTCTGGTTCTCCTGAGGGATCTCTGGTTCTCCTGAGGGATCTCTGGTTCTCCTGAGGGATCTCTGGTTCTCCTGAGGGATCTCTGGTTCTCCTGAGGGATCTCTGGTTCTCCTCTGGTATCTCTGGTTCTCCTGAAGAATCTCTGGTTCGCCTGAGGGATCTCTGGTTCTCCTCTGGGATCTCTAGTTCTCCTGAGGGATTTCTGGGTTTCCTTTGGGATCTCTGGTTCTCCTAAGGGATCTCTTGGTCTCCTGAGGGTTCTCTGGTTCTCCTCTTGGATCTCTGGTTCTCCTGAGGGATCTCTGGTTCTCTTGAGGGATCTCTGGTTCTCCTCTGGGATCTCTGGTTCTCCTGAGGGATTTCTGGTTCTCTTGAGGGATCTCTGGTTCTCCTAAGGGTTATCTGGCTCTCCTTTAGGATCTCTGGTTCTCCTTTAGGATCTCTGGTTCTCCTGAGGGATCTCTGGTTCTCCTGAGGGATCTCTGGTTCTCCTGAGGGATCTCTGGTTCTCCTGAGGGATCTCTGGTTCTCTTGAGGGATCTCTGGTTCTCCTGAGGGATCTCTGGTTCTCCTGAGGAATCTCTGGTTCTCCTGAGGGATCTCTGGTTCTCCTGAGGGATCTCTGGTTCTCCTGAGGGATCGCTGGTTCTCCTGAGGAATCTCTGGTTCTCCTCTGGGATCTCTGGGTCTCCTAAGGAATCTCTGGTTCTAGTGAGGGATCTCTGGTTCTCCTTTAGGATCTCTGGTTCTCCTGAGGGTCTTTGGTTCTCCTGAGGGATCTCTGGTCCTCCTGAAGGATCTCTGGTTCTCCTGAGGGTTATCTGGGTCTCCTTTAGGATCTCTGGTTCTCCTGAGGGTCTCTGGTTCTCCTCCTGGATCTCTGGTTCTCCTGAGGGATCTCTGGTTCTCCTGAGGGTTATCTGGGTCTCCTCTGGGATCTCTGGTTCTCCTGAGGGATCTCTGGTTCTCCTGAGGGATCTCTGGTTCTCCTGAGGGTTATCTGGGTCTCCTCTGGGATATCTGGTTCTCCTGAGGAATCTCTGGTTCTCCTCTGGGTCTCCTAAGGAATCTCTGGTTCTACTGAGGGATCTCTGGTTCTCCTGAAGGATCTCTAGTTCTCCAGAGGGAGCTCTCGTTCTTCTGATGGAGGTATATGGTTCTCACGGGGGAGCTCAGGATTCTCCTTAAAGAGCGTTGGGTCTCCTGAGGGAGATTACATTGTGGTGTAAGGGGCTCTGTTTCACCTGAGGAAGCTTGTAGTCTCATGATTGATGGACCTACCTTGACCTTGAGGTTACCTTGAGGTGCTTCCGGGGCTTAGCGTCCCCGCGGCCCGGTCGTCGACCAGGCCTCCTGGTTGCTGGACTGATGAACCAGGCTGTTGGACGCGGCTGCTCGCAGCCTGACGTATGAGTCACAGCCTGGTTGATCAAGTATCCTTTGGAGGTGCTTATCCAGTTCTCTCTTGAACACTGTGAGGGGTCGGCCAGTTATGCCCCTTATGTGTAGCGGAAGCGTGTTGAACAGTCTCGGGCCTCTGATGTTGATAGAGTTCTCTGTCAGAGTACCTGTTGCACCTCTGCTTTTCGACGGGGGTATTCTGCACATCCTGCCATGTCTTCTGGTCTCATGTGATATTTCTGTGTGCAGGCTTGGGACCAGCCCCTCTAATATTTTCCACGTGTAAATTATTATGTATCTCTCCCGCCTGCGCTGAAGGGAGTACAGATTTAGGCTCTTTAGTCAGTCCCAATAGTTTATATGTTTTACTGAGTGGATTCTAGCAGTAAAGGATCTCTGCACGTTCTCCAGGTCAGCAATTTCTCCAGCTTTGAAAGGGGCTGTCCTCTGGTTCTCCTCAGTACACTCACATTAGTTCTCCTTGGCGTAGCTCTGGTTCTTCTGAGGTGTGCTCCGGTTGCCCTGAGGGAAATCCCTGAGGGGAGCCCTGAGGGAAGCTCTGAAGGGAAGCTCGTGAAGGAAGCCCTGGTTCTTCTGAGGGGAGTTCTGATTCTCCTTAGGAGGCTGTGATTCTCTTGAGGAAGCTTTAAATCTCCACAGGGAGCTTTGTATCTCATGAGAGAGCTATGGTTCTCCAGAGGGAACTCTGGTCCTGAAGGAGCTTTGGCTCTTCCTGAGGTGAGCCTTGGTTCTCCTGAGGGAGCGCTAATTTTCACGAGGGAGCTCTAACCTATCAAACCCAGTACCAGATATTATCTTCCTTGGAGACTTCAATCTACCCGTTTAAAATGGAGAATAGTAAGCAATAACATTATAGTAGGAAATCAACCTGGAAATAACCAACCACAGGTCAGAGAACTACTGAGATTCTGTAACAAATTTTCGCTCAGTCAGCAGATTACAGAGCCAACTCGGAACGAAAACACGCTTGACCTGGTATTCACGAACAATGATGAGCTAATCAGAGACATTACTGTCTCAGACACTACGTACTCGGACCACAAGCTCATTGAAGTGCAAACTAACATTAATAACGTTAGTAGGCCCAGGAGAAACAACAAGCGAGAAGGGTTATTCAATAATTTCAATTTTAATAATATAAGGATACACCGAGAGAAAATAAACAGGAAACTTACAAACATTCAATGGGAAAATATTCTAAGTAATAAAAATCCTACACAAGGAATAGATAAACTGACTTCTGAAGCATATGAAATCTGTCTGAAACATGTTCCTTTCAGGAATGCCAGAAAGAGGTTCAATGTAGAAAGAGAACGCAGACGACAGTACAAAAGGAGGAAGAAATTAACGGAAATGCTTAAGCAGACACGACTTTCCATACAAAGAAGGAATAATTTAAACAGGGAGATTGAAGAAATCGAACAGAGACTGAAGCATTCATATCAGGCTGAAGAAAGGCAACTAGAACAGAAAGCAATTCAAGAAAGAAAGGAAAACCCAAAATATTTCTTCACATACGCTAAATCAAAAGCAAAAACCACTACCGGTATTGGACCTATTCGAATTAGTGAAGGTTCATACACACTGAGAATGACAAAGAAATTAACGAAATCCTAAAAAAGCAGTATGAGGACATGTTTAGCACTCTGGTACACAGTATGAAAGTGGAAGATCCGGACAACTTTATGCATGATATCCAAACCCCTGTAAATATAACTGATATCAACACGAGCGTAACAGATTTTGAAAGAGAAATGGACAATATGCCCATGCACTCAGCCCCTGGTCCAGACTCATGGAAATCAATATTTATAAAGAACTGCAAAGTGCCAGTAGCACAGGCACTCAGTATAGTGGAGGAAGAGCTTGGACACGGGGAAAATACCAGATGCGATTAAAGCAGCAGACATAGCCCCTATACATAAGGGAGGAAGCTAAGCATTCACAAAGAATTATAGACCAGTTGCGCTAACGTCCCACATAATAAAAGTATTTGAGAGAGTGATCAGGAGTCAGGTCACAAGTTTCATGGAAACCAATGATCTCCACAATCCAGGCCAACATGGATTTCGAGCGGGAAGATTATGCCGCTCACAGCTACTTGACCATTACGACAAAATCACTGAGGCATTAGAAGAAAAAGAGAATGCTGATGTTGTATACACAGACTTTGCATAGGCATTCGACAGATGTGACCATAGAGTGATAGCACACAAAATGAGATCAATGGGAATAACTGGTAAAGTAGGACGCTGGATACTCATTTCCTGTCGATTAGAACACAAAGAGTAACAGTCAATCAAATAAAATCGAGTCCAAGCGCAGTTAAAAGCTCTGTATCTCAAGGTAGAGTCATTGCACCACTGCTGATCCTTATTCTCATATCAGATATAGACAAAAATGCAAGTCACCGCTTTGTGTCATGCTTTGCAGATGACACAAAATCAGCATGAAAATTACCCCTGTTGAAGACATTGAAAAACTACAAGCAGATATTAACAAAGTTTTCGACTGAGCAGCATAAAATAACATGATGTTTAGCAGTGATAAATTACATGTACTCAGGCACGGCAAAAATGCGGACCTGAAACATAATACAGGGTACAAAACACAATCAAATATGCCCATAGTAGGAAAACCGCATGTCAAGGATTTGGGAATAATGATGTCCGACGATCTAATGTTTAGGGAGCATAACCAAGCAAATATTGCGACAGCCAGAAAAATGATAGGATGGATTACGAGAACTTTCAAATCCAGGGATCCCATCACAATGGTTGTACTCTTCAATTCACTTGTGTTGTCCCGTCTCGAGTACTGCTCAGTATTCACTTCCCCCTTCAGAGTAGGAGAGATTGCTGAAATAGAGAGAATCTAGAGAACATATTGTTACGGTGCCCTCTCCTATTTCTTTCGTTTGCCGGCTTAAAGAGTCATATCAGCTCTCCCTACTGATTCTCTGAGGTTCAGGGAGTCTAATGATATATGTGGCGACCAGACCGGCTGCCAGTTAAGGGAAAGAAGTTATATTATAAGTTGTAAATAAAGAAAAATTGGCGCCCTGTTATAAAATGAAACAGTATCCCCTACGGCAGATATGACCTTGTGGAAGGGACACCAGGCCGATCGCGGATTGGCCGACGTAGGTCGCGGGCGACAAATCAGGGCCCGCCATGACGTCACCGAGTGCCCCGGGCGGCGCCAACGTCAGAGTTGTACTGACCGTGGAAGCGACAGGACGCGCCTCGGTCTGCTCTCAAGAATTGGAGGCTCTGCAAGCCTTGTCCAGTGGATTGAGCTGACCATCGCCGCCTACATAGTTATTGGAGACCCTGCGCTTCTGGGAAGCCAAAGAGGAACCAAGTTCAGTGAGCAGAGAAGTGCCCAAACTTGGAAAATAGTCGGCGACGACGCTGGGCGGCGCCGCTGGCTGGACGTTGAGGTCTGGAAGGTGGGGGAGCAAGCTAGCTGTGACTGGGGTCACATCCACTGAGAATCTTGGAAGGACGACACAGTGCCTAGGACAAGGAGCGACGCCCTGTGGGAGAGGCGAGTGTGGGGAAAGATAGTGATTAGCTCAGCGCCCATCGATGAACCAGGATTGGGGCAGCTGAATCCCAGGGATTGGAACGGCGACGACGCGAAGGCTTCACGACACCTGAGGACCTGTGGAACGCCCTGGATCGTCGAGGATCGACCCAAGGAAGCGTGGGAACCTCACACCATCGAGGGACAGGCGTCGTGAGCCAGGAGTGTAAGGTAGATCATTTTTCCCTCCCATTACCCCTTGTATGAGTAGGCTAGTTAGGCCACAATATTTACTTGTGTATGTGGCAGCAAGACTTTATTACTTTAATAGTAGAATAGGCTGCAAGGCAGCTTGTGTCCAGGACTGTCAGAGAGGACAGGGTGTATGGATGGCAGGACAGTGAAGAAGAGGAGCCGACGTGGTGAAGAGGCCCTCCTGTGAGAGTGTGAGACTCCTGTCTTCCTGCCCAGTTGAAGGAGAGTTGGAGGTCGTGGAAGAAGAGGCTGACGATCTCCAGACTTATTATCCATATTCCCATATTCATGTATTACTTGTGATTGTGTGTGTGTGTTCATGTAATTTGCGTCAGTAAATCCACACATTTTATTACTGTGTTTGAGTGTGCCTCCATTTGTGATTTTCTCTATGAGCATACATTTCTGGCTACAAACGATATATGATACACCCACTGAACTGCATTGCTGGGGTGCAGATATAATAACCCAGCTGGCGACCTTGCTAAGAGGAAGATAGAGAAGACAGGCGGGAAAGGAGTTCCTGCAACCTTTTTTTTTGTCTGGCAGGCAAGACTCAGGGAGGTTATGGTTATAGGTAAGCCTGAGTCTTCCTTCACTCCCCCACGGGTCTAGGCCGGAACTGTTAACAGCAGTTTCCCCGTGGTTGACTGAAGGGCTTCCAGGGTGGATCAGTGGCACCCCTTTATGGTGGAAGCAAAGACCTGCGGAGGTGGGCATTGTTGGTCCTATCTTGTGTGACCAAGGAGACTCCGGTGAATCCAGGGAGTCGGAGGGGCTGAGTATTTGGGCCCTTTGAGCCCCTAGCAGCCGAGTGTTAGCAGAGCCCCGGACCGCCCACCCCCACGTGACAAGAGAACTGGCGACCTCGCCAGGATTCGAACCCCAGTAGCCAAGAACTGGGAACTTCGCCAGGAAGCGTGGATCAAGCTACAGTGTGGACCAAATTTCAAGACAAGTGTTGCCAGGGTACTAATACAGTGTGGCCAGTGAATTCGGTGGTACTGTTACTCAACCGGCTAAGGGACTGAAACGGTGAAATTAGTGCCTTCTAACTTGTC